GCATTTGGGTGACACAAAATGTTTAGGGGTAAAAAATGAGGAGAGCTGAAAATTAGGCAAAACCCATGGGTGAAAACTAACCAAGGGCAAGAGTGTATTTGTCCTAATGTCCCATTTGTTTTTGTTAAGCAGAGGATTGGGTCCTTGGGGCCCATATTTTGTTCGAAGATATACCACAACTAGGTTTGGATCATATTCAAATGGTGAATTACTAACAAAACATGAATCTATCTTGCTGACAGGTGAACATTCTTTACTACATTAAATAAACAACTACATTATCTAAATGATGCTTGCGGCTGAACCTTACTCTTTCTTTCACATGTATGAAGATTATATTTACCACACTTTAGTTGCCAAAGCCAGTGGAGAGTTGTGCTTAAATTATACTTTTTCTTTGGGGGCATTTGCAAGAAAACCTCTTCTGCAAAGGTTAGCTCATCTGTTTATGTTCTTAGTTTGCACGAACTTTCCTGTTTATCCTTCTTATGTCTTAACAACATGCACATTAAATATGATTCTCATTAAGTTTAAGATAACATATTCTTTGGATTCTCATCAACAATTAAGAGGTTTAAGATAACATATTTTTATTCTCATTAATCATTAAATTCTAAGATAAGACCTTTCTTTATTTTTTTACTTAGAGCTGTCAGTTCTTAGTACTGGTGAAGGACACTACAATTCATTACTTTTCTACATGATAGAGAATGAAAAATACTTAAATAGCTGCAACTAGTTAGCACCCCATTGGAAAAATATTTTGCTTTAGAATGGTGAAAATGGTTGTTTGGGCTCAACTAGTTAAGGAAATTCCTTTTCATTTATTATCAACTTCTAAATCTCATGTAGACTGGATATTATATGTTTCTCATGTTCTTCCCTACTAGTCGATAATTCCCCTTTCTCTTAAAATCCATGTTAATTTTAGATATACTGCCTATGGTTACCATAAACATATTCTAATTCTATCATAGCTAGTCTAAAATGAAAAGTTGAACTTTGATTGTAATTCTCTTATTGATTCTGATATACATTTCATAATGTCGTTGATCCCACTATCCCAGATTGATTCTTTTACTAGATTATGGTTTCAAAGGTTCAAAATATTCTTCACATGATGCATGCTTGCTAAGGATTTAGTACATAATGATGCAATTTAACTATTCTTTATTTTTACTCCATTGCATTATATTTCCCAGCCGTCTTGACAAAAATTACCCTGCCAAGAAGTCACTTTAGGTGATACTCCCTATGTTCCTAAATATAAGACCTTAAAGAGATTCCACTATGAATAACACGCGGATGTATATAGACATATTTTAGACTGTAAATTCACTCATTTTGCTTGCATGTAGTCCATAGTGGAATCACTAAAAGGTCTTATATTTAGGAATGGAGGGAGTACAATATTTCATGGTAGAGATCATCCTAATATGCATATGATTGTGACAGTCTTCCATTCACACTTTAAGAGAGTATTAGTGTATAAGTTATTAATCATACTATCAATGTACATACATATTTTTAATACTCACGAGCTTGTGATCTTGTTAATGCAATAACTTACCAACACAATACTAGGAGTAATTCATAGTTCATGAATATATTTTGTGATGTTTTCTCACTATCCTATAACACGCAACAGCGCATCTGATTGGAAAGTGCCGACTACTTTCATATATGGCCAGGATGATTGGATGAATTACCAAGGGGCGCAACAAGCACGCAAGGATATGCCAGTTCCTTGTGAAATCATCAGAGTCCCACATGTCAGTTTGTTTTCCTCTATGTCAATACATAAACTAAGATTAAGATCTACTATATTGGTATTGTTTACTAACGCTTTAGCTACAATGCAGGGAGGTCATCTCGAGTTCATAGAAAACCCATCGGGGTTCAACTCGGCGGTCTTGTACGCATGCCGAAATTTCTTACCTGAAGATGTAGGGGACGACTTCTCTCATCCTTATGGCTTGATATATGCATAGAGTGCCATCACACGCGGTCTCATGGTGGTATATGATAATATGAACATGAAGCAAGACCGATACATTGATAGTATCAATATTAGCACCACTGTCACATGATTTGTTTATGTATGTATGAATTGCGTGAATATGTCTCATTCATATCGTACGTGCTTGGGTAACCAGTAGTGAAAACATAATGTTATACATGTAAGCTCTCTAGTTGGTCTCGATGTTCCAACAGTTAGTTGATGGAGTCTATCATTTTCCAAGCATGTTTGTTTGATTTGTGACCCGTTGCAGTCATCAAGTTCTTTATACATGTCCGTGAGAGGAAGCAACTCTGGTTTACATGGACCGATAGGTGGATTAGGGCTTTTCATCGGTTTGTGAGGACCTTTGCAACATCATTGATATGGAAGTTTGCACATACTCTCACCCCGATAAATGCATGCACACATACCCTATCATATGAGCATCTTTGAGAGACTGAGTTGGCAGGTAGATTGACGAAGCCACCGCAGGAGCCTTGTTATCAATCGAAGTGTCACCTCCCACTGAATTAGTATTCCACCTTAATAAGACACAAAGGTGTCTCATTATCTTTATAGCTTTAGCTAAAAATAATAGTGTCTTTCACATGTCTTTTTTGCTAAAATAGTCGATATATAAAAGTGGTAGCCTTAAATAAGAATCGGCAATGAATGATGGTATGAGACCCCCTCCCTCACTCCTCCACATCCACAACCCATGTTACTCTTCTCACAGACTAGTCGCATCATATTTTCAAAAAGATAGTGCTATTTGTCAAAGATTGGGACAACTTTATGAAATTCACGTGTTCAACCAAACAAAACCACTTCTCATAAATTTGCGCTACTTTCCAAATTAGGGTGGAACAATGGGACAAACTTCCAGTCAGGTAGTGTTTTTGCCATCCACATCCCCCAAATTCTTGACCCGATCCAAAGGCGTTTGAAAATCGTCTTCACACGCGC